TCAAAGTTTGATGCAAAAACGCATGATCGCACCGGCTCGCCTGGTGCGTTCCAGCCTGGGTTCTGGATTTACTGAAAAAATTTGCCCTGCCAGCTGATAGTTAGTATTGGCATTTGCTAGCCTCTGGCAAGCTCTTAGTGTCGTCACCTCGCCTAGAAGACCAGTGCAGCGAAAGTTTGGTTTGGACTGAGGAAAAATATATTTTTAACGAAACTGAAGCCAATTTTAGTGTGCTACAAAAGTCCAGTGTAGGTCGTGACGTCAATTTTCGCTAATGGTTACTGTTATACCAGAGAAATAGGATCAGAAAACTGTAACTTTAAAAAGAGTGAATGGTCACTAACGAACGCAGCCTAAATGGCCATTTAATTTCGTGAGATTAAACAGGATTATGATATGCGGCGTCCAGCAACTGTCAGAAAACGGGTAAAAGAGGATGAGGAAGTTGCGAAAATTTTGACGATATTTCAGTACAGTTAATTCGAAAAATGAGAATATCTTGAACAGCGAATTGATGGTGATGGCACCCTCCTCAACATCAGAAACAGTGCCTGAACCAGGTTTGCCCTAAACTTCACATTATATTTGCTTTAAAACAAAAACACCAAAACCGCCACGACAATTCGTCTAGGAATCTACGCTAGTAATATTGCTGATATGCTCACAAATGCCGGAAGCAGCTAAAATTGTACCGGTTCCAATTAAAATCACTTACGACGCACACCGGATTGGCCCGTGCGAACATGCGTTTTTGCAATATTTCGCGCCGTAATGAGATCCCCTCGGAAACCCAGTAGCTAGAAATGTGTGATGTACCGGTCCTCGAAATCTGGGAAGTTAATTGTCTATGCGGTATTTGGACAGTGAACATTTCGCTGAAGTTTCAGCTTTCCAAACTTTCTTCTTGAGTTAGCAATTTTCCTGCCAAAAATATTCACGAGGCCGTGCGTTACAATCACGCATGCCCGGGAGGGGGGAGGGGGACTGAGTTTGATAAATTTAAGCCGTACATGGGTCGGGAACATTTCCTGAAAATTTCAGCCTCCGGGCTTTTCTGGTTCCCGAGTTATCCATTTCCGCGTCAAAAACTTTCACGGGGCCATACGTGAAAACCACTTGCATTGAGAGGCTGAATTTGATAAATTTATATTGTACTCGAGCTGGGAACATTCCCTGGAAATTTCAGCCCTCCAATTTTCTTGCTTCCTAAGTTAGCCATTTTCGCGCCAAAAATTTTCACGGGGCTGTCCATGAGTAACACGTAAAATTAGGGGCTAAATTTGGTTATTTTAAGTTGCAAATGTGCCGGGAACATTCCCTGGAAATTTCAGCTCCTCAGCTTTCCTGATTCCCAAGTTAGCGATTTTCGCGCCAGGAACCCTTACGGGGCCATACGCGGGAACCACGCATGCTTGGGGGCTGAATCTGAAATCTTTGAGTTCCATGGAGACGGGGGACATGACCTCAAAATTTCAGCTTTCTAGCTTTCCTGGTTTCCGAGTTCACGATTTTCCGGCCAAAACTTTCACCCACTCGTACCGCGGGGCAAAATTTGGCGCCGGGGCTTGTTTGGGTGCCGAGTTGAAATATCTGGGCGGACACACACACACACACACACACACATACACACACACACCGTGGTCGTCACAATATGCGTTTTTGCATTTGCACATAAGCAAAAACGCATAAAAACTGCATATTTCCAATTAATGTACACTGTCTCTTCGATGTATGTGCGCTAACACTTCAAGGTCCGGCAGAGTGGTCGTTTATTTCTTCAAAGGTATTACCGGATAGTACGTTTCCGGTTGTCAGCATGGCGGACAACATGCATTGCCCATCGGATTTTACTCTCTCTTGTATATTAGTAATAATAATGATGATAATAGTGGTGATGACGATAATAATTATAATAATGATAATAATGACAACAACAATCATAATAATGGCTACAATGGCAATAATAGCAGCAGTATTGATGATAATAAGAAATCTATTTCAGATGTACCGGAAAAACACAAAGAATTAGAAACTGAGATAGCGCAACTGAAACTGCGACTACGTGAACGAGACCGTGTGATATTTGATCTGGAGGAACAGATTCGAGGGAAGGATGCGATTATCGTAGATAAATGCCAGCTTATTGAGCGTCTTGAGCAGCCTCTCTACGATCGATTTTCACCAGAGGTTTGTTCAAACACATTGTTGTATTTGAAAGTTTAGAGAGAATGACATGAATGCAGCTAAGCTTGCATATTGGCCGTGCAGTACCAGGTCTAAATTACGACAGAGTACCATAGGCTGATTCCTAGACACACATATATACTGCTTTGCTTTGGCAAACTTTGATCTGTTGTTGTTTCATCGTCGCGTTTCTCATCCAGTAAAGAAGGATTAAGGCAGATCAATTAGGAAGATAAAAGGAAGCTTCATCAGAACATTTTAATTTCAGGGCTCAATCGAAGAAACATCGCAAAGTACGATTCAATATATGCCACTGATTAATAATATTGAGCTGAGTGTGGAAGCAAAACTACTGGAAGAATTGCAGGAAGAAAAAAACTCACGAGCGAAGCTTGTCGAGCAGAATGAATTTTTACTGCAGCAGTGGGATGAAGCATTAGCTTATGTTGAACAGGCCAGTACCACACTGTGCAAGAAAATTATTTTAGTTTACCAAAAAATAGGTTACAGTCGTGACCTCTTATGACAACATGGACTGAAAAGTCGGTTACCAAAAAGTTCGAGAAGGTACTGTATTAATATTCCGTGTCAGTGATGCTTACTGGGATGTTCCTGCACCCCAAACGCAGCTACTCCCTGTCCTTTGTTCGTGGGCTGCATATTCACCGTCTGTTCTCGTATGTTACAGCATACATTTAGAACAAAAAAGACCAAGTTAGGCGCTCAGTAATGCTGAAAAAGGCACACAAACAGCAGTAAGGTCGTGGTAGGCCTAGCTTTTTATTGCAAAAATGAATCAAGTGACCAGAACTGTAAAGGACATTCATACTCTTCCATCCATGCCACTCAAATTTCATGAATAATGCATTTCTTTGAAATCTCCAATTCACATCATTTTTAAAAAATTTTTACTGTTTTCAAATCTGCGGTGCGACAACTAAGAAAATCAAACAAATCACGGAAATAAAGACGGGAATAGGGATAGAATAATAATATTAATAATAATAAAAACAACAACAATAATAATACAGAATAGTATATGGCCACCTGACTTATGAATCTGGCTATCCCATGTCACAAGGAACTACTCCAGGTCTCTCGATCCTGGCCGCATACACCTAGTTAGTACTTACCGCCTTCCCGATGTGTCATCACTAACATAGGATACCCACATCTATCGACCGAACAGTTTTGGTATATTTTTGGTCATTTAATTTCTTTTCGGCACACTTCACCTCTCCGGCGATATATCTGAGAATTCATTCAAAGTTTGTAGCGAGCAGACCTCAGTAGTGTGCAAACCAACCCCGATTAACTGTAGAATAATTTAGGTGCAAGGGAAGTTGAAGGCCGAACTACAACGCGCAAATTCGTTAATTGACGAGAATGCGAAGTTGCGAAAACGGATCGCTGAAACAGTTGTGATTTCGAAAAGTGGCATACAATTCATTGCACTGCTATTTGTTTTATTTAGCCTTTACTTATACACCTGGAATTGAAATTTGTCAAAAATCTTGAGAACAGGTATTGAGATTCGTAACTTCGAAGTGAAACTATTTAAGTTTATACTTGACCGGGACTTTACGGATCCGCCTCTCACTGTTTACAGCTAAGGGATGAAACAGAGAAATACTGCTTTACCTGCCGACACATGCTACTTTCTCTATCTCTCCGCTCCAATTTTGGCTTTGGAAAAAAATACCATGCACTATGCCGTGTTTTATCCCGTCTAAACCACGAAGCTCAATAATATTTAGTGCTGAACAATTCCTACAGTTTTGGTATTTTGGGAAAAAAGAGTTCAAGATGAATACCATTTTTCTTTTCCTTTCATAAAATTTGGTAGAAAAGGGACAACTCAAAAATTTTTCTAACTAGCAGTGATTAAACCTCTGCAACTAGTTAGCAGCTAATTAGCAGCAGCTGACCCAGCCGAATTCTACTACCAAAAATTCCAAAGCCGTTTGGGCAACCAGTGTAGATATCCCATGTTTGCTGTGTTACTGGAATGCCTAGGTTTTAATACCTGCGCAAAAATCGTTGATGTAATGCATTTTGTTCAGGAATAAAACAGAACGAACGAAAATTTTCTGTATTATGCAAGAAGAAAAATAAGAAATTTATAGTGAAAAGTTAAAGAGATCAACCGATAACATAGTGATGATAACGCAAAAACAACAAAGAACAAAAAACAGATTGTTAAAAAACAGAAACACAACATAATACAAAGGCACACTTTTTCAGTAATTATTTGCAGCATGATGGAAAAGTACGTCAACATAGTCTGGAAAGGGTAACGCTTAACAACTAACACTAAATGGAATGGAATAGGAAGGTGATTTAACTCCACGCTGAATCTAAAGCCGTGCCAAAGTGCTTCTTTTGGGACAACTCCTGGGCCAGTAATCCCTCGATGAGACAAAAGAACGCTAGGATCGCCAGATAGCTGGCCACCAAGAGGCATAACTTTGATCAAAATAATTATGAAATGAAAAAAGAAAAAAAAAATGTCATGATTGTATCCCACCACAACTGGACAGCGTCTCGAATATGATTCAGTGGATGAGCCATTATCCGTTTCTCCAGCAGATCTCATCCAGAAGTGCATGCTAGGCCGGCAATCTTCAATGGTAACAAGGTATCTCTAGTTTTCCGATTTAGAATTGCTTTAAAACGTGTAGAATTCTTGCGATTTTTCCCTTGGGAGTAATCACTATGAGGATCATTCTTAAAACAGTTAAATCAAACAAACAGTATGATTTTACAGGCAGAAAAGAAACAAATATTCTTTTGGTTTGCATTTTT